GAGGGCGGGAGCGAGTCGCGGTGGTTCCGTAGGTAGCTGCGACGCAGCGTGTGAAGACACGAACGCGGAGCCTCTTCAGGGCACTTCATGTGTCCTGTGCCCTCCTGTGCCATGAAACTCTGGTTCTGCTTTTTAGAGCACCTGGCAACATGCTCTGCTCCGTTGCTCGCCTCATTTCTTTCTTTTTTTTTCCCCTTCAAAAGAGTTGTGTGTTGCAAGTGCTCTGCGGTAGGAGATACCTTAATGCTGCTTCTGGTGGTCAGTCCTTCTGACATGGGCTTCTCCTAAAGGAATTTGAACTGTTGGCTGCAGGAGGATGATTCCCCACGCTTTGAATTCCTCTCACTGCCAAAGCTTTAGCTGTCATTAAAGCTGCTTACACTTAAGTAACACCCTCGCACAGTCAGGGGGAGGGTTGAGATAGGTCAGAAGATCCGGCTGCGGTTGGGAAGATACCTGCTTTGCCTCCTACAATCACTCTAGTTTGTGCAAACGTAATAAAAGAGAAGTTTGAGGCTCTTCTTGAGAAGCGGATGCATTATCAACGTTGGGGTTTTTGTGAAACTTGGGGCTTCACTTCCTCTTTCTTAAAGGCTTGTAGAATAGTTTTGGACTTCCCTGAGCAGAGGGCTCCTGTCACACATAGTAAGTTTAGGGGGAAAAAAAAAAAAGCTTACAAATCATACTTGGCATACATAATAGTCTTGAATTCCTGGTGAGAAATACTTGCCTCATAGCTAAGGTTACTAATGATTTTTTGGTTTTATTTTTTTACCAAGAGAGAAATACAGTGCATGAAGAACAAGTTTAAATACTGTTATGGTCGATACACAACAGCTTAGAAGGAAAACAGAAGTTACTCTTGGCAGTTGCATGTATAAAGTAAGAAATAAGTAAACAGAAACGTTTAAAGACTCAAAAGTCTGTCAGCAAGCTGAGAAGGTGAAAACTGTAGAAAAGGAAGAGTGGGATGAAACAGAAAAAAATATAATTACAGTGGAAAACAAATTTCTAGTGTGAACAGTGATGTGTAACCAGGATTTAATTTGGTTTAATATATAGAAAACTATGACAATATATGAGAAACTACTGAAGACAGTAGGGAAATAATACACTGTTAACTTCAGTGCTTGTTTAGTCGGGTTATTTTGCAGTTAACATCTGCAAGGAAGAAGTACGTAATGTATAGCTAGTTGAACTGCTCCCAGTACAAATATTTTGTGTTACATGCCTTGTCTAAACTTTTCAGGTGCATCTGATTGCCTGCTGGAAATACTTTGAGGTATCAACAATGAACTCGATGTTACTGTTATTTTTTTCTGGAATTCTCGCCTGTTGTGCACATTCTACTGGAGATTTGGTATCCAGGTTACTCCTCGTGTCCTTTGATGGCTTCAGGGCCGATTACCTGGAAACGTATAAACTTCCTCATCTTCAGGAGTTCATTGAGGACGGGGTGCTTGTAAAAGAAGTTACAAACTCTTTTATCACCAAGACTTTCCCAAACCATTATACCATAGTGACAGGTTTATATGAAGAAAGCCACGGCATCGTGGCCAATGACATGTATGACGCAGACTTGAAGAAAAGGTTCACACAGTTCAACGATTCGGATCCCTTCTGGTGGAATGAGGCAGTTCCCATCTGGGTAACAAATCAACAGCAGGGAAATGGAGCAAGTGCTGCTGCAATGTGGCCCGGTACTGATGTAAAAATTAACGATACGACCCCTCAGTTCTTTATGAAGTATAACTTTTCAGTCACATTTGAGGAGAGAGTGGAGAAAATCGTCGCGTGGCTCAATAGCTCAAACCCAGTCGTCACTTTCGCTACGTTATACTGGGAAGAACCAGATGCAAGTGGGCACAAGTATGGACCCGCTGACACTGAGAACATGCGCAAAGTATTAGAAGAAGTGGATAATCTTGTTGGTTTCCTTACTAATAAATTGAAGGCGTTCGGTTTGTGGGACACCATCAATATCATAATAACCAGTGACCACGGAATGACCTCCTGTTCTGCAGAGAAGCTGATTGTCCTGGATAGGTGCATTGATCGTGATGCCTACACTCTGATAGACAAGAGTCCAGTTGCTGCAGTGCTGCCAAAGCAGAGTATGTTTTGATGTTCTGGGGCCTGTTTTGTTGGGTTTTTTTCTTTTTTAAGTGGTACGCCGAGAATTACATCTTGCTTATCTTACTACTAAAAAGTAAACACTATGGTATACCGGTCACATCTTTGGCAAAACCAATGTAGTTCAGGTGGCAGAACTTTGACACAATATGGTGAAGAGTGTTTGTTTATTTAGAAGTTAACTTTGTTTTGGTAATCAGTGAGCCAAGGAGAGTTTCTCATCAACTTGCTATGGGTGCATATTGCTCCTGGTAAAGCTTGTTGAGAGAGCAGACAGGCACTTAGTATGCCTGCTCTCTTGTTGCTCACTTAGTTTATATGGTTTTAATTCACAGTGAGCGTGAAACAAACCCTCAAGTTTATTCAGAGTAAAAAAAAGTCATTGTCTAAAGTTCCAAGTAATAATCTAAATCCAACTTTGATCGCTTTACCACTTTGGTTTCTGTGAATGAAACTTCAGTTTTCATACTATGAATTAAATTTTTGTATCTTGGCGTAGCTGCTGACAGGCGTGTCTTAAATCCTGACCTGCTGCTCTCAGTGTCCACAAGTGTGGCCAGACTGAACCAATTGTGATGAACAGAGTGATTTATACAGTAACAAAATATAATAGGTCCTGCTTTGGATAAAATATTGGCTACTTTGGGTGTGATGGCTTTCTCTTGATTTCTCTGCTTGAATATTGCCCTACTTCCCTCTGAGCCCAGAAGGTAAGTTGAAATGTAGGTCCAGAACTGCAGCTGTGAGGTGCCTGATTTAAAAAGAGAGCAAATTGTGAAATCCATCTCAATACATGTAGCATTTCATTAGGGACATGAATAAATCCTTTTCTATGTGCTTTTTAAAAAGTAATTTAGGTTTAATGATGGATAATTTCATTAAACAGGACACAATTTCCAGTTGCTTCACAGGTAGGTTTGTTTCTTTTTCTTGGCAGACAAGAGAGACGTATATAATTCATAATTTAGGTTTAATGATGGATAATTTCATTAAACAGGACACAATTTCCAGTTGCTTCACAGGTAGGTTTATTGTTTCTTTTTCTTGGCAGACAAGAGAGATGTGTATAATTCACTGAAAAAGTGCCACGGTAACATGACAGTATATCTCAAAGAAGAAATTCCAGGCAGATTTCATTATCAGCATAATAAGAGGATTCAGCCTATCATTCTGGTTGCAGACGAAGGCTGGACGATTGTGCAGAACGAGTCTCTTTCAAAATGTAAGTGTTTTCCCCACTGGTGCTCTTGGTGGCTGATGTTGGGTGAACTGTCTTGGTTTTATTCCAGCCATCTTTAGGATGGACCTGGTTTAGCGAGTTGAGTCCTGGCCACGTGCATCTTTAAGAATATTTTGGCATTTTCTAGAGCATTCTCAGCCTGAGCCTGGAGTGTTTTAACAGATCAGGAAGAGATGGGGGATATTGGCTAAAACACTTTGTCATGTTCACCTTAATAGCCTTAAGACTTTTCTTAGGCAAGTTGCTGTCTGTCTGTCTCCAGCTTCCACTAGAGTGTGTTTTAGCTATTTTTTGTATATAAAATTATATGGAGGGCAGCATAAATTGAAGAATGGAAGGTACAACATTTAATGCTACGGTACATGGACTAGGAAACAAAAATAAATGGGAGGAAATACTAAATAAGAACACAACTACAATGGTAAAAAAAAAAGCGCCAGAATTCCTCCTCTTATGGGCATCAAATAGCAAGTTTTAAAGACAAAAAACCCAAAACATGTTACTTCACCCAGCGCATTGCTAACCTATGTGCTTTCTTGCGAGATGCTATGAATGTCAGATTGCACACACGTACATATATAAACATAAATATATGTGTCCAGGTGTTTGACATGCAGAGCTGGATTTTTCTAGCAGACAAGAGGTATGTATAACAGAAAAAAATGCAATAGTCACATGAAAGTTTACCTCAAAGAAGAAATTCCAGACATTTCATTATAGTCATAAGAAAATTCAACCCGTGTTTCTGGCTGCACACCAAGGCTGCGTGTGTGTGTGTGTGTGTGTATAGGTGCGTGTTCAGAAAGTGATTGTCCAAGAATTGGACCAAATGGACAAAAATGCATTAATAGAAGTGAACTACAAAGGTACCAGCCTCCAGGAAGTTCCTGAGCAGCCAGCAGCTCGAGGCTGGCCGGTGAGCCTGGGCTGACCCTGCTGGATACCTTCCCATCTCCCTTTTATGACACCATCAGAATTGGAATGCTGGGTAGTGTAAACTCTGAGTTTCACCCAGTCTGGCTGTCCTTACTACCTGCCCTTCGCACATGCAAGTTCAGATGTTCTCATTACTTGTACAAAAGTAGTGCTTTTAACGTAAGGAATGTTTTATATTCTAATTTCCCCCCGGTTTTGCCACAGCTGTCTTCAAAAGGACAGCACTTAGCACATGTGTTCTGTAATACAGGTCTGCTGATGTTTATGGTTAGATCCAATTTTATGTACCTAAAAATAGTTAAGAAGCAGGTATGTATTAGTAGGCATCATATCAGTTGAAGTGAATCACTTTTCAGAATAATTTTGCTAGTCAGAGCTTCTCAGAAGCAAGCAGGGAGATTTTAGCCTAAAAGGCTATTTAAGTGTTTATTATATTTTCTTTGTGGACAAAGTGGCAGCATAGGAACTGGCAGGTGTTGCAATATTACAGTGTTCCTACCACCAGCCTTCCTACTTCAGAGCTGAAAGATAAGAACCTTTGTGGGAGAGGGGACTTGGAGTAGCTCTGTTCAAAACAAGCAAGTAGCAGAAGGAAAAAAAAATGTAGCCATGAATAGGATTGCATTGAACAAGCAAGATGTGGTGAGATAGTATCTTTGTGGTAATAAACATAATGGTGGAAACCGTTTAAAAAGGAATGTTGGAAATGTGCTCAAGTGGTGAGCGTGACCTAATTGATAGCAATCTTGACATTTCACATCAGAAACTTCAATGAAGCAGCCAAGGATGCAGTTCTCAGGGAGACTCATTCAACTGTTACTAAGAAATGAACTCAAAACTTAAATGTGGTCATTTAAATACTGTGCTGTATGTGCTGTGAGAGGGGTTTTTCAGCATGTTATTAGGAAATTTAATTATGGCTGCTTTTTAGCTCTTTATATTCCATCAAAAATCAAGAGTATTTCTTAAAAACTTACCAAATTTCCACGTACTTCGTGACCTGGTAGCCACGAACATGTTTTTGTACGCCTGTCACTGGCATCGTGATTCTCTGCATGTTTTGTAGTTTGGACTATTTGGGTATCTTTTCACCTGAAGTACCTAATCTGGTAAGCATGGTTTGAGGGTGCTTAATATGCCTGAACTGAATGCTGTCAAGGGGAAAGTGCTTTCGCTTTTATGAAGTACTTAAAGTGTTTGGTTTGCAAGGGGCTGATGTCCTTACTGAGAAGTACAGATTTGCATTCCAGCTACTGAATCCTCATTGAGCAGCCCTGTCCTTTATACCTTGAGGAGTGGGAAGGGGAAACCGGGAAATCTTTTCCAAAAGGGAAGGAGATGACTGTAGGAAGAGGGAATGAACTCTGGGTTCCTTCAGAGTTTGATCCAACAGCTGCTTTTATCTTCTGCATTAGTCTGGTTAAAATGTATGCCTTTGGGGCGTGGGGAAGAGATGGGGAGGGGAATACTCATACACAGACAAAAACTGTGCCGTTAACTCTTAACCTTGCATTTCTCCAGTAGGAGACCATGGCTATGACAACACTCTCCCAAGCATGCATCCATTCCTGGCTGCTCGCGGGCCGGCTTTTCATCGAGGTTACAAGCAAAGTACGATGAACAATGTTGATATTTACCCCATGATGTGCCACATTCTGGGACTAACACCGCAGCCCCACAACGGCACCTTCAGTAACGCCAAGTGCTTGCTCGCTGACCAGTGGTGCATAAACCTTCCAGAAGCTATTGGGATAGTTATTGGGGCTTTTATGATACTGACAACTTTCGCCTGCATTATAATCATGTCAAACAACAGAGTGGCTGCTCCAAGGTCGTTTTCTCGACTTCAGTTACAATATGACGATGAAGATCATATTTAATTTTCTTGTAGGGAGCCACTCGTCACTTGCTAAATAGTGACCTTGGGAAGAGAGTTCCAACTTGCACTGGATGGGGCATTCTTTGACGCGCTTTAATGGTATCTGCATAAAATATTTTACAGCCAGATCTTGTTAACTTGTTTGTGTGCGCTACCTGTCTAGTAATCCTGTAAAAAATTTCTTCTGATCAAAATCCTGGAAGAGATGCTTAAAAAATAAGGTTCCTTAGTTTTTCATTCAATCCTTTGAACACTTTCAAAATGAAATTCCATAGTACGAACTTGCCAGGATAGACTAAGAGAATTTTAACATTTGTAAATGATAATTGTTTGGGCATTTTTTTAATATTAGATTTAAATCAATGTTGACTTCTTTAAGTGCTCTCATATCTATGTTGGAAAGAATATCTTTTTTTTTTATGGGAGTGAGAAGTTAGTTACATTTGGGCAGTGTGTTCCGATTTGTTCTTAAATTTTGTGCTAGAGGATGTAAAAAAGATCCAATACTTTCCCCCCTAAGCCAGCAATAGGACAAGAAACTGTCGAGAGGGAAAATGAAAGTCAGGGAGGAAAGAACTGGTGCACATCACTTCTGTTCTGAGCAATAAGATAGGCAGTTCAGCAGTCACAACACTGGCCCCTGACGTTTCTAAAGGTCTGTCTGTGGATGAGTTAGTTCCACAGTGCCTGCACTCACAGAGCTGGGATAGTACTGCCTGCTTCTCTAAAGGATGTTGATTTCATTGGAGACTCCTTGGATTACCCAGTTTTATGGGCTGTAGTAATAAAATCACTGCTTCTAAACCTTGTGAAAATTTTTTCATGTGTAAACTTTGATGAAAGTGGTTTTGTAATAAAAGTGGTTCTGTCCTGTGTACCAGCTGCTAATTCTCTGTGAAAGGCTGTCGTGCTAAAAAGCAACAACTTCCAAGCCCTCCTTTTAAACCCTGGAAATTTAAAGGGAAAAACTAATTATGTTTTTTTTTGAGGTAGGATCTGTTACCTGTAGGGTCTAAGTTGTATGGATGCACAGTTCTGGTAAAGACCACTGCTTAATTGAAAGTCTTGATTCCTTATTGCGAAGTCTTAATACCTTGCCATAAAAAATCCAAGCATTCATTTGATTTAGAAAGCCTTAGTAGTACCTTATTTTTCAGTGAGGAAAGAATGGGAGGTTAAATTCTTAATACTAACCCAAAAAGAGAGTTACAGTTGCCAAGTCCTTTTCTTAAAAGTTTGATGGTTTAAAGCTCTGATAGTTTGAACTGAGAGCTGAGGTACCTGACAGCATACAACGTGGCTCCTTGGTCACAAGCTCAAATTCAATGCCATTTGGTATTGGGCACAAGCTACCTTTTAGTAATCCCGCTGGGAAGGAATAGGGTCTTCGGAGGGAAGGACGACTTCTAACTCTCTCCTGAAAAAAATACGTTTGTGTTTTAAAAATTATGTGGTAGTTTCTCTCACTTGTATTTTCCTCTCTGAGGATTCCGTTGTACTGATTAAAACCAATACAAAACCTGATCTGTACTGCTTTTATTTCTCCTCCCTTCTTAAACTATTAATTACCACTTAGTGATTAATGCTTTATTTTGGATTAATCTGAACTTGAAAGAAGCCCTCCTGTTGATAGAGCAATAACTGGACTTAAGACAGAAGTCAATTTCTCATCCTGGCGGAAGATTTGAAGTAATGAATTATCTGTCTGCTGACTGAGTAACTGAAGTGAATGTTTTGCAGCTTAGAGGTACTGTAAAAGAGAGGATGCTTGAATTCCTGCAGTGGAGAGAGGTGTTAGGTTCTTAGAAGTGTGCTGATAAAGGCTGGGCACCATCTATATATGGAGAGACTTCACCTGAATGAGTATTACCTTGATCTTTCTGGGAGACTTGGTAAGACCGAACTATACTGTCCTTGACCTGTGAGGTTTGGTTTGGGTTTGTTTTTTTTTAATAGATGTTAAAATTGGTTATCACAGTGTATGCTCCAGTCTATTCTTCCTTTTCTCCCTGAGTAGTTGTCATAAAGTGAGCGACTGATGTGCTTTCGCTTCCTCTGTGTGTCACCACCGCAGGCCAGGTGTCGCAGTTACCACCCAGATTCTCATCGCTAGAATGTCAGCTGTCAATGTCAGCTGAAGTGTGGTGGCAGCGCTCTAATCTAAAAGAGGAATATTCTTACAGATGAGGAAATTTAGGTCTATATACATTTCCCCTCCTCGCTCTGGGGAGCCCCGTGTGCTAAGAATGGCTGCAGGCAACTGAGCTCCCAGGAACCCAGGGAGTGTGTGCCAGTGTCCAGCTGAAAGCCTCATCACCCTCTATTCCTCCCTTTAGGGCTGAGACTCAATGGTGCTATTGTGGGAAGGGCTTAAAGAGAAAGTTTAAATATTAGTCAAGAAGTAGGATAAACTATATTCCAGTTGCGTTGCTGATTATTTTCATTTCCAAAGTTGTAGCATGGTCTGTTAAGAGTCCTGAGTCTTCCTCCTGGCACAGTTCTGTGCTGCTGGTAGGGAGATTGCAAAGTAGCTCTCGTACACGCAGAATTTCATGCGAATTGTGCAGATGAAGGGAATCCAGAAAAACACCTCTTTCTCCTTAAAGTTGATATATTTAAAGATGATTATTTTTCAAGTGTTTTAGTGGCTTAAACATATTTCTGCTGCCTAATTACAGTTTGTATGAATTCTTGCTTGTGAAAGTTAGTGGCCGATTCCGTTTTCGATGGCTTATTCAAAACAAGAACCTGAGAAGCTGTAGCTTCCCCCTTCCTCAAAGCTGTGATAAAGGAGATATCCTACAATAGTTTGTGGCAACATTTAATGTCTTGCTAAGTATATGCAGTATAGGCCTGATATGAAAAATGTTCATACAGGCATATTAATTTAGGGGAAGTTCTTACTGTTTAAACTAGCACTGACATTTAGAAGGGGGTAGGGGAAGTTTGTGATGCTGCTTTCCACCAGTAAAAACTGATGTTTCATTGTGTTGACTGCCTCCATAACGGAACTCTCGGCACCAGGTGGAGTAGCCTTCTCTCTGGGATTTTATGCCTTTTGGCCCTTAGCACCAAGGAAACAGTTCCAGAACTGAGCTGATTTCGACTAAATACTGATCCAAACCACTTGTTTCAGGGGGAAGTTTAAATCACTATGAACTGAAATGAATGTACTGCCTATGAAAATAAACATCATGTACCTCCAAGGAGCAGATCACAGGGGCAGATATTTGCTGTAATAAGTTACCATCTTATTGCTAAAAACCTCACCCAGTAATACAGATTTGTCAACCTGATTCAGATCAGCATTTTATTATGGGAGGCCCATCCACTCGCAATGCTGCATACACCACTATTGAACTTAACGTTTTTGTGTCCCTGCAACAGTTTTGTAGTCTAACATGCAATAAATGCTTACGTTACATTTACCATAGTACAAATGTGCCGTTTCTTCAAAGGTATGCACAAGCAGCGCCGGTATGGTCAGGATGGGTCTTTCCTCTTCAGTCGGCAGAGCAGTGAAGCGGCTCTGCAAGGGCACTTCAGACTTTGGGGTAAGTCTCTCCCTCCC